ACCCACCCACACACCCACACCCACACCCAACACCAGCATTTACATAGGGCTCCTGCGGGGCGGCCGCCTCTGCGCAGCGGTCTCTCCAAGATCGAGGGGCGGGGAGAGAGCAGGTTGCCAAAGGAGGGCCTGGTGGGGCTCCGGGCAGAGCGCAATCCCTGGATATCGTCCGAAGTTGGGGCTCCCGATGTAGCCCCCTCCTATCCCGCCTCACCTCCACCCCCCATTCTCTGCCTTCCGTAGGCCCCATCCCTTCCTCTCCAGGGAAGGGAGCCCATGCACCCTGCGTCTGCGTGGGGAGTGAAGTGCGAGGCGGACTGGGGTCTTCTCCTAGCGAGGGGAACCCACTTGGGGGCGAGAGCCACTGAGCGTGGGGCTTTTCTCTTGCAGCCGCACGGGGAGGGGTAGGGAGTGAGAGAGGAGGCGTCGGGAGCAGGCGGGCGGGTGCACGGAAGGACTTGTCAGAGATGAATGGAACCGCGGGCGGATCGATAGAAAATTCATGCACTAATTCGGGGAGACCTCGCCTTCCAAATCGCATTTAGCTGCGCTATTAGTTTGGCTTTGTCAGTCCGTCTGTCTGTTCCCCTCTGCTATCCACTCCTCCCCTTACCCCACACGGCCCAACCGGGAGAAACGACTTGGTTTCCCACACTAAACATGAGCAGCGGAGTAAAAACCTGCAACTTTTGACAGCGCGTTGAATGGCAATTTGCTAATTCCAGAACCATCCGAGCAATACTAACCACGGGGTGGAGACGTTCTAATTGCCACTAATGCCACAGCCTCCTCAGTGAACAGAAATCTCACATCCTTGTGAAGCTGGGGATAGAAGCCCTGGAGGTGACCCCCCCACACAGTAACTCCCCGTGGTAATCGGGTATTTCCAGGGCATCTTGTTCTGAACCCAAACGGAAAGGCGACTTTAGTATCCGTTTGAAAAGTGAATTTCCTTTTCCTTCGCACACTGAAGACAACAGTAATTTTTTCCGGATTTTCAGTAAAACCTCCCTGAACCCAGAATAGAGAATAGGTGGGCTTGAGGGTAAAATTAAAAACACCACCAACATTAACCTATCAAGAGACCGCAAAGGGACCCAGGCTCCCAAGGACAGGCATAGGGAGGTTTCAAGTAGATGATTTCTCTAACCAGTTTAGCAGTTGCGGGAGGAAAAGAAAAGAGGAAGGAAGAAGGAAGGAGTCTTCTCCTGGTCACCGCATGGTCCTCATTTAGAAAAAAAAAAAAATATTTTTTTTCTTCCAGGGGGGAAAAATGAGCGGAGTGTTTATGTCAACTACATATTCCCCTAGATACGAATTTGTGACCACAAAATTTCTTACACAAATTCGGATCTACAGGGTATATACAGAAGACAGAGATCTTCTTGGCCCAGAAATTTTCCAGTTCTCCTACTTTCCACGTGTTCTTCGTTTGGGATGTGGTTTGAATGCTTTGATTTTATTTCGTTTTGTTCTGATTTTGAGATCTGGGAGCAGGAAAAGGCACTGCGGGTCCTTCGTTGGAATTACAAGGTTTTCAGTTCTCTTTCTCTTCTTTTAGAGAGAACTAGAAGCCGCGGGTCTGGCAAAGAGACGCAAACCTCGCAGCACTGCGCAACTCTCCGCGATGGCGCATGAATTATGAGATGTAAACATTAGCTAAACACAAAAGGAGGAAGGGTCATCCTGAGGCTGCGGCAAGTCAGAATCAGGCCCTTCTGGGTGCCCTCCTGCCCCTCCCATCCCCCCAGGACTTTTTTTTTTTAAGAAAAACAAAACCCCAATGGGCTCCTCCAGTGACCCTTGCAGCCTTTAGTTTGCGATCAAACGAATATCTATATATTTTTCAAGGCGCCTCTTAGCAAAGCGAGGGGGGAAAGGCGGCTGGGTGTGAAGGGGGTGTCATAAAAGTCCTTTTGGAAAAATTCAATGGTAAAATGAGGGAGAAACAGCTGTAAAGAAAAATGCTGGGAGACCAAGCAGATGGGGCCCCGGATATTTAATGACGGGCAATTCCGTTTACAACCTGAGAAAAAGATCAAAGGCGTTTCATTTCCGAATGAAGGGCAATGAAGAACCATAAAAGATGCAGCCAGATGATATTCCGGTCCCTCCCAACCTCCCAAACCTCCTGGGGCCAGAAACCGAGGATAATCCCTGAAGTGTGAAGAGGAACCCCATTTCCCCACCTCCCTAGCCCCAGGCAGGCTCCCTCTCTTTCTCTCTCTAAACTTGCTCATTCTGCCACCTGCTAATGTTGCTGACAGTGGGACCCAAATGGGAATCTGGGGAATCTGGGGTTTCCAAACGAATTTCCTGAGGCTTCCAGTAACCACCAAATTTACTAAACTGGAAGACTGGGAGCTGAGCTGGAGGGAACTGAGTCCTAGACTGTGAAAACTGATGGCCTACCCAGGGTAAGGTAAAGAGTGCAAAGAAGCAACCTCCTCCCCACCCAGACTCCCTACCCATCTCCCTAGGTCTGAAAAATACTTGTATCCCTAGCGAACAAGTCCAAATAATATCAATTTCATTAACAAATACAGCAATAACACAAAAAATGACCCTTGAACCACCATGCTCCAGAAGTCTCTGCCCATCCCCAGTCCTGGGACCCTTGCAGGTGGGTAAGAGGAGAGCTCCCATCTGCCAGCAACTAGGTCCAGAGACCCTCTTTTCTATCCCAAATCTAGATTGCTAATGTTGGTCTCCAGGCCTGATTTCTAATACCAACACTCTCCCACACAGGCTGGACTCACATATATTTGAAAAATCACACACACATATACACAATTCTATTGTAATTATCTTAATCTCAGACCCCAATCTGGGCATCGGGGAGACTGAAGTCTGGCCCTGGGTTCATTGACAAAATGTGTAAGTAGGACCCCCACCAGGCCCCCAATGTCAAGCAAGGACCTTTCCAAGTCTTGTCAAAGGCCACTAAGTCTGGAGACGCACAACCCGTTCCAACTGTTCAGGCCCCTCCCCCACCCCATACCTCCTCCTCAACTCTCTAGCTCTCTGAAACCCGTCCAACTCCTCAGCTTTTCAAAATTATGAGAGGGTCGCTGAGCTGGCCACCGGGCCTCTCTGCTGCTCTACACTTCACAAGGGATGTGGCCCAGGTGCCCAGAACACCCCAGAAGAAAGGGATGGGAGGCAGAGCCACTGAGGGGCTGGGTATGGCTGATCCTAGGGACAGAGCGCGGAAATTTTCTCCTCTGTGTGCTGGGAGCCGCCACCTGCCCATGCCACCCATCCCACCGAAGTGCCGCACCTTCCACCCCAGCCGAGTCCCGCCGCGATGGGTGGAGGGCAAGGTTTATCAGCGATTCCCAAGATGGGTTTCACCAGAACAGGAGTCTGCCTCTCTCCTCCATTCCCAGAATACGAACATGAGTACAATAATAAAAAAGTAATAATAAGAAGAAAGGGACAGAGCTACGCGCGCGAGCCTGAGCCACCTCCCCTGCGCTCCAGAGGTGGCTCGCTGGCTCGCCGGCCGCCCTCTCCCAGCAGCCACAGGTTGCTAGAGTGACCTCTCGCTGCTCGGCGCCCCTCCGCTGCCGTCCCCGGTCGTGCCCAGCCAGCGCGGAATCATCTACCTTTTGTCGGCAGGGTGGGAGGGACAGAACGAGGGAGCGAAACCAAAGGGCCAAGGAGGCGAGCCCCAGCCGCCGGCGCAGCACAC